TGTCCCAACAGAGGCACAAACACCCTCGACCATTGCTACACAGCCATCAAAGACACCTACCACTCCATGCCCCACATGCATTTTGGGAAATCAGACCATAAGGCTATGCTCCTTTTCCCACCTTACCAGTAAGAACTGAAGCATGAGAATCTGATATAGAAAGTCATAGAATACTGGTCTGAATTAACGGATGAGCTCCTATGTGACTGCCTGGAGTTGTGGACTGGTCCATATTGAAGAACACAGCGTCCAACCTAATGAGTATGCCACTGCCCTCACAGACCATCAGTAAGTTTGTAGAGGACTGCGTGCCAAAGAAGCTAATCCAAGCGTTCCCCAAACGAAAACCACGGATGAACTGGAAGATTTACTCCCTGCTGAAGGCCAGGTCTGAGGTGTCCAGGTGGCCCTGACCTAAACAGGAAATCTAGGTACAGTCTTCATAAAGCCATCAGGGATGCAAACAGACAATACCAGACTAAACTTGAGTCCTGGACTAACCACATGAACACACATTGACACGGCAAGGCTTCCATGATATAATGGCTACAAAATAAAGTCAAATAGAATCACTGACAATAATGCATCCCTCCCCCATGACTTCAATGCATTCTACGCTCATTTTGAGCAGAAGGTCAGTGAAATGATGTCACCTGCCCGAACAGCCTCAGGTGCACCTGTATCCACAGTCACCACAGACATCAGATTGGCCTTCTTGAGAGTGAACTCATCGAAAGGGACTGGCCTGGATAGAGTCCCCAGCTGTGTATTCAGATCCTGCATGGACCAGCTGGCAGGAGTATTTGCAAACATCTTTAACCTCTCCTTCCTATGATGTGAGGCTCCCACCTATTTCAAAAAGACCACTATCTCCCTGGAGTCAAAGAAAAATCAGGCAATATACCGTCCGCTGGCTCTGAATCCATCATTATTTAACGATTCGACAGGTTAGTAAAGACACACATCAATTCCAGCCTCCCAGACTGCCTTGAAACACCACAATTCGTCTATCATCACAGTAGGTCCACAGTGCATGTCATCTCCCTGGCTGCATACACATCCTTGGAACATCTGGATAACAAGGACACCTACATCAGATTCCTATTTATTGACTTTAGCACTACCTTCAACACCTTAATACCAACCAAACTCATCTCCAAACCTTGGACTCTGCTCTCCATCTGCAACTGGATCCTCAACTTCCTGACCCACTGACCGTGATCAGTAAAGATAAGTGACAACGCCAACTCCACAATAATCCTCAACAGCAGTGCCTCGCAAGGCTGCGTACTCAGCCCCTTACCATATTCCTTATGCACTCACGACTGTGTGGCCAAATTCAGCTCTAACTCTATTTTCAAAGTTGCTGATCATAGTGGGTCAGGTCTCAAATAACAATGAGACTGATTACAGGAAAGAGAAAGAGAGTTTAGTGGCATGGTGCAAAGATAATGATGTCTCCCTCAATGTCAGCAAAATGAAGCAGCTGATCATCGACTTCAGGAAGCGAAGTGTAGGACACACCCCTGTCTGTATCAATCGTGCTGAGGTGGAGGATGTCAACAGCTTCAGGTTCCCAGGAGTAAATGTCAACAACAATCTGTCCTGGTCCATCCATGTCGACACTACAGTCAAGAAAGCGCACCAACGCCTCTACTTCCTCAAAAGACGAAGGAAATTCAGAGTGTCCACAATGACGCTTATGAATTTTTATAGATGTACCACAGAAAACATCCTATCCAGGTGCATTACAGCTTGGAATGGCAACTGATCTACCAAAGACCACATGAAATTTCAGATGTTGTGAACACAGCCCAGTCCATCATGAAAACCAGTCTTCTTTCCGCTGACTCTATCTACACATCCTGCTGTCTTGAGAAAGCAACCAACATAATCAAAGACCCTTCCACCCCAGTTATACTCTTTTCTACTCTCTTCTGTCAGGCAGAAGACACAGAAGTTTGCAAACATGTCCCAACAGATTCAAGAACAACTTCTTACCTGCTATCAGAATTATGAATGAACCTCTCCACCCCTCTCACCCACTCCAACCTCTCCCCCGCAGAACGTGCAGCCCTCCGCTCCCTCCGCTCCAATCCCAACCTCACCATAAAACCCGCGGACAAGGGAGGCGCAGTTGTAGTATGGCGCACTGACCTCTACATCGCCGAGGCCAGACGCCAACTCTCCGACACCTCCTCCTACCGCCCCCTTGATCATGACCCCACCCCTGAGCACCAAACCATCATCTCCCAAACCATCCACAACCTCATCACCTCAGGTGACCTCCCATCCACGGCCTCCAACCTCATCGTTCCCCAACCTCGCACTGCCCGCTTCTATCTCCTTCCCAAAATCCACAAACCTGAATGCCCTGGTCGACCCATTGTCTCCGCCTGCTCCTGCCCCACCGAACTGATCTCCAACTATCTAGACTCCATTTTCTCCCCCTTGGTCCAGGAACTCCCTACCTATGTCCGTGACACCACCCACGCCCTCCACCTCCCCCAGAACTTCCAATTCCCCGGTCCCCAACACCTCATCTTTACCATGGACGTCCAGTCCCTCTACACCTGCATTCCCCATGCAGATGGCCTTAAGGCCCTCCGCTTCTTCCTGTCCCGCAGGCCCGACCAGTCCCCCTCCACTGATACCCTCATCCGCTTAGCCGAACTCGTCCTCACACTCAACAACTTCTCTTTCAATTCCTCCCACTTCCTACAGACAAAGGGGGTAGCCATGGGTACCCGCATGGGCCCAAGCTACGCCTGCCTCTTTGTAGGTTACGTGGAACAATCCCTCTTCCGTACCTACACCGGCCCTAAATCCCACCTCTTCCTCCATTACATTGATGACTGTATCGGCGCCGCCTCGTGCTCCCACGAGGAGCTCGAACAGTTCATCCACTTCACTAACACCTTCCACCCCAACCTTAAGTTTACCTGGACCATCTCTAACACCTCTCTCCCCTTCCTGGACCTCTCTGTCTCCATCTCGGGCAACCACCTAGAAACCGATATCCATTTCAAGCCCACCAACTCCCACAGCTACCTAGAATACTCCTCCTCCCACCCACCTTCCTGCAAAAATGCTATCCCCTATTCCCAGTTCCTTCGCCTCCGCCGCATCTGCTCCCAGGATGAGGCATTCCACTCCCGTACATCTCAGTTGTCCTCGTTTTTCAAGGACCGCAACTTCCCCCCCTCGGTGGTCGAGAACACCCTCAACCGTGTCTCCCACATCTCCCGCACCTCATCCCTCACACCCCGTCCACGCAATAAGAACCAAAAAAGAATCCCCCTCGTCCTCACGTACCACCCCACCAACCTCCGGATCCAACGCATCATCCTCCGACACTTCCGCCATCTGCAATCCGACCCCACCACCAAAGACATCTTTCCCTCCCCACCCTTATCTGCTTTCCGGAGGGACAACTCTCTCCGTGACTCCCTTGTCCGCTCCACACTCCCCTCCAGCTCCACCACACCCGGCACTTTTCCCTGCAACCGCAGGAAGTGCTACACCTGCCCCCATACCAGGCCCCAAGAAGACTTTCCACATCAAGCAGATGTTCACCTGCACATCTGCCAATGTGGTATACTGCATCCGCTGTACCCGGTGTGGCTTCCTCTACATCGGGGAAACCAAGCGGAGACTCGGGGACCGCTTTGCAGAACACCTACGCTCGGTTCGCAACAAACAACTGCACCTCCCAGTCGCGAACCATTTCAACTCCCCCTCCCATTCCTCAGACGACATGTCCATCCTGGGCCTCCTGCAGTGCCACAACGATGCCACCCGAAGGTTGCAGGAACAGCAACTCATATTCCGCTTGGGAACCCTGCAGCCCAATGGTATCAATGTGGATTTCACAAGTTTCAAAATCTCCCCTCCCCCCACCGCATCCCAAAACCAGTCCAACTCGTCCCTGCCTCCCTAACCTGTTCTTCCTCCCACCTATCCCCTCCTCCCACCCCAAGCCGCACCTCCATCTCCTACCGACCAACCTCATCCCGCCCCCTTGACCTGTCCGTCCTCCCTGGACTGACCTATCCCCTTCCCAACTCCCTACCTACACTCACCTTTCCTGGCCCCATCCCCGCCTCTTCGACCTGTTTGTTTCCTCTCCACCTATCCTCTCCTCTATCCCTCTTCTATCCGCCTCCCACTCTCTCCCTATTTATTTCAAAACCCCCTTCCCCTCCCCCTTTTCTGATGAAGGGTCTAGGCCCGAAACGTCAGCCTCTCTGCTCCTATGATGCTGCTTGGCCTGCTGTGTTCATCCAGCCCTGCACCTTGTTGTCTCGGATTCTCCAGCATCTGCAGTTCCTACTATCTCTGATTCAATAATAGCTTTGTGTTGTGTTACATAATTCATAATTGCGTTGAGCCAAACATAAATCAATAGGTCACCTTCCTTGACGGGCATCAGTGAATTGGTTAAATTTTCAAAGCAGTCCAACAGCTTAATGGTCACTTCCAAGTTTTCTATTGCCAGAATTTATTTTAAACTGAAATTAAATTCTCAAATTGTCATGGTAGGACTTGAACTCAGATGGTCTAAGTTATTAATTTGGATTTCAGGACACAAAATATGTAATAACTTGATCTTAGCTTTTAGTACAAGAACATTCACAGTCTGAAAGCAGGAACAGTGAGCCCAAAAGGATCAGATTAGTGAACTCCAGCTGACAATATTTCACGACTACAGGAACATAAATTAATGACAATTTCCTGGCTACAGATATTGCCAACGAATAATTTACAACTGCAAATACATTTACCTTTACTGTTCAGAAACAATGCAAACATTTTAATGAACAAGCATCTGAAAATATTAACAATATATTTCGAATACTGTTTGAAAACTGAGATACATTTTTATATTTGTTTATAAATAGATATAGAAGTTCTTGGTAATGCTCAGATCAGTCACTCTTTCTCTCTGTACAATTAATAGGACAACATTAATAGCCATATGTTAAATTAAGAGTCATTACCTTTCGAATTCTGTCCGTTTTCTTTCTTTGAAAGAAAAGTTAAGGACCACTGCTTTTACACCCAGCATCAAAATGTTACAATTTTATAAGGTTTGCAAACAATGACTGCACTTTGCTCATGCTACTTTATTATATGAAATAAAGTATTTAAAAAGTTGTGTGGTTGATGTTCTATGTCCATGTACTACCTCATTTACTTTGCAAGTTTACCTCCAATATCAGCTCAGCATCTTGTAAGAGGGTGTCTCAATCTATTCATGCCAGCTTTTAAATCAATGACTCCATTTTTTTGAAACTACAACACATCAGTAGTTACCTATTGTTGCCAAATCCAGCTACAGTAAAACTTGACAGCACAACTGATTGATATCCATTATCTCTTCATCATCATATTGTCGTTTGTGGGACTTTGTTGCGTGCATATTGGCTGCTGCGTTTCCTACATTACTATCGACAGCCATTCTACTCTGTTCTTAACCTCTATATAAAATTAACTGGCCTTGCTCTACCATATTCCACACTAAAGGTTTTAATCCAATTCCTTTCTATCTCTATCAAATGATGCAAAATCATTTACATTGTCTGATATTCAGCATCATCTTGATAAGCAATAGAAAATGTTTAATCTCTGGTCTTGCTCAGGCTGATTAATTTTGTAAATGTACCCTAAAACTCTGCTCATCATCCAGGCAATAAAGCCTGTTTCTTTCATTTATTCATAGCAGTCATATTATTTTAAAGACTCACATTTCTTCTCAGCCTTCTATTCTTGAACAACATTGTGTAAAGACTTCTTTTCAATAAATTAGTCACTATAAGCTTTGCCACTTATCTCTGAAGAGTTTCCAACATGTTTAGTCTTCCTATGGGATGACAAAAATTGCATACTCCATAACTGGCTCACCTATGGGCCACATGTCATTGTAACTTGGGCTGACTTCAAACTAGACCATTGCACACCAGAAGCATCCTCATCCTGATTCCTTTACTAAGTAACATTTTCAGTAGCTATGTCCATGAAAGAAAATTTACGATGCAAAACAACTACATCATTTCTACTCAGAATATATATATTTGTCTAAGTATAAACTGATCAATAAATAGTGATAAAGGGAAATCAAAAAATAACCAAAAGAACTGCTGATGCTGTAAATCAGAAACAAAAACAGACATTGCTGGAAAAGCTCAGCAGGTCTGGCAGCATCTGTGAAGAGCAAGCAAGATTTAATGTTTCGGATCCTGTGAACCTTCCTCGTCTTCTGAGGAAGAGTCACCAGGCTCGAAACATTAACTCTGAATCCTACTTTCATGTTTGCCTATTACTTGCTTGCTCATCTTTAGTCATTGCTACAATAAGGACAGTCATCCACTATCCTTCTTTTCAGTTTCCACCTCCCTCTCCTCCCTTCGCAGAGCTAAAATATCAGTTGCAAGAGCTATATTTTTCTATGAAGAGTAAAAAGGATACAAATAAAGACAGCAGTTTTGGGACATTGGTCACTTTCAAAGTTGCAGACAGAAATTTTTGAAGTCTCATTTTCAATTCCAGAGACCATGAATCCTAAACAGCAAATTCAGATCATCAATGATTAGAAGAACAAAAAGGCAATACAAAAACAGCTATTATTTAAAAAAAACTTTCAGTGTAGAATTTTAAAAAGAGACTTGGCAACAAAATAGCAATTTTTGCAAGATATTCTTGCACTGAATGAATGAAATGGCCAGAGACTGTTACAGATGTAATATTCACTTTTTACTTTCCAACATTTGGTGAATAGGCTCTTTTCATAGCTGGTGGAAACCAGCAGCTCAGAAACCTGAGATCTTATCACAAATCTGCTTTCAACAATAATATATCCATTGTTGTCTTCCATTTTTACCTGCTAATCTTAATTACTAATGCATATTCAGGTATTTTCACTCAGCAGAAAGTCAGACAGGAAGAATACAGTTCTAAAATCAAAGTTTAAGACTCATAATACTAAATTTTTGTGTAGCAAAATAGATTATGTAACTTTTGGGATTTTCTTCCATCCTCCACACACAGGGAATATAACCTACTTTGACAGATTCCTAGGAAACCGTGCGTTGAGTAGGCTTAGTAAAATATAAAACTAGGGCTCACTGTTCAAAAAGTAGAGGTCCACATATTTAAGACAGAGATAAGAAGACTTTTTTTCTCATCAATTTTTTGAAATCTCTTCCTCAATAGGTGTGGGAGTCGGCCATTCAGCCCTTCCAACCTGCTTTGCCATTCAATGTGATCATGGCTGAAAATCCAACTCAGTGCCCGGCTCCCTGACTTCTCCCCCATACCCTTTGATCGATTTAGAACCAAGAACTATAACTAACTCCTTCTCAAAAACATTCAATGTTTTGTCCTCGGCCATTTCAGTGGCAGAGAATTCCACGGGCTCCCTACTTCCTGGGTAGGGATTTCTCTCCTCATCTCAGTCAGTACTCTTTAGACTTTGACCCCCAGTTCTGAACTACCCACCCCCTCCACACCCCCCAACAACCCGGTCATCAGGAACATCCTTCCTACATTCACCCTATTCCTGTTCGAATTTTGTAGGTTTTAATGAGATCTCCACCTTTCTTGTTCTTCTAAATTCCCAGTGAGTATGGTCCTAATCAATCCAGTCTCTCTCCATTCATCAGTCCTTCCATCCCCAGAATCAGTCTGATAAACCCTTTGTGTTTCGCTCCTTGGTGAGAGTGTGGGATACATAGGAATATATGTGGAATAAATGGAATATGCCTTTACTCAGTAAACTCTCTTCGTTCTCTGCTGAGATTACAGCAAGACAAGACATTCCATTGTCCATTTGGTAATCCTTTGCCTCAATCACTAGTTCTGTGCTTGATCTTTACATCATCTTTACATGACAGGAAAGAAACAATTTTCTAAGCTGTAAATGACATAATTAACTTGGGGCCCTGATGGCTACAGTGAAATGATGATCTACCTTTGATCTCAGTAGTGATGAAAAGAACAATAGTAAGCATTTTCTTCTGCTAATTAATATGGGAAACATTGTGCACTCATTATCTTATGATGTATTTCGATCATCCAAGCAGATTCAGGTAGCTGCAATATCTTGCTTGGGCAACAAAGATTTAATAAATAGATCATTGCTCCAACCGATGCATTTCTCGTTCCACTTCCACTGTTCAGAACAGATTTTAAATTTAACCAGGGTGATAAAAGACCAAAACTATATACATCTTAATCTATACTGGGTTTACGATTAGAAAAAAAAAAATCAGCCAGGCTGCTTTAATAATAAAGAATAACACATTTATTACAAATAAAACTTAATCAAACAAAAATGCAAATATTATTGACTGAGAAAGGATTAGACGATGCCAATATTTATAAGATTCGTATTTTAACATTGCAAATTTAGCATGAGGCAAACATGGGAACAGATAAACGATGGGTGAACTCCCCAAAGAACACATCAAATAGCAAATGCGATTAGGACAGATCCTTCGAGATTTCTCAAAAATTCCCCAGACATTAGTGACACCACGGGTTATCAAATGTCATTAAAACTTCACAAGAGATTACAATGTATCACCTTTGACAACGCAACCTTGAAACTCCCTTCAGTCCAAAAAAATGGTAATCATGAAAAAAGAAGTCTGGAATTAAGGGTTTAATGAACACCATGAAACAGTTGCTGATTGTCAGAAAACCCTTCTGGTTCAGTAAGGTCCTTTAAGGAAAGAAATCTGCCATCCTTACTCAGTCCGGCCTACATGTGGCTCCAACCCACTGCAGTGTGGTTGACTCTCAACTGTCCTCTAGGCAATTATGGATGGGCAATAAATATGGCCTGGTCAGTGACACCCACATCTTGTAAATGAATAAAAACAAAAAAAACAAAACTGTCTCCCCGAAATGACAACAAAACTAGGTAGCAGGTGTACTCTTGTATAGTTGCTTGGAAGGAGCCAAGAACACAAAGTCAAATGTGAGCTTGGATCATGTATTAAACAGTATTCCCTCTCCAATGGGCATAAAAGATCCCATAGAGACAAAAGGAAAGTATCACTGTGCCTGGACAGCATTTATATTTCAGCAAACACCAGCAGAAACAAATTAACTTATTGTAGGTCTAATTACTGATTTTGGAATTTTACTTCCCAAATATTGGTTGTCACCTTTGTCTATATTTCAAAAGTGTTGCATTAGTTGTAAAGCTCTTTGGGAAGTTCAGATATTACGCAAGTTGCTATCTAAATGTAAATATTTCCTTATTAAATACTAATTCACGCAATAATGAAAACAGAAATAAGAATTAAAAAGACAAAATTGCTAATGGAAATATAAACAAGTGATAATCTGTATAAAGATTGTGCTCTTAATCTCCACAAGTAATTATGACATTGCAAATTAATGTGCCTTTCAATTAGACTGCAATTTAAAGGTCTCCCAATTAGTATTATGCACTGGTACATGCCTAGTTTATTTCACCCGATCAGTATAAATGTGGTACATTGGTATACAACAACACTGAGCAGCGTACGAAGGAATATAATGCTTTCTTTCTATCACCATGCCAGCTATGTTTTCATCAGTACGTGAATGCCCACCTTTCACAGGTCATGGTGAAACAAGGCCTTAGGAAGTGCAATTTGTCATATCTCTTTTCATGGAAGAAAGCAGTCATCAAAAGGCAGAGAAATGGTTACATATCTAGATAGGTTATATGTTAGTAAAACACCATTATCTGATAACTGCAGCAACTCATACCTGAAAAAGCTCCTTAAAAGAGGGATGCACAGTGGGATTGGGGACAAATGGAAGTGCGTAAAAGGGCAAAAACTCCGTTGTCTGACTCAATGCAGCACCTCTAGTTTCTAGATAGCTTTTGAAATGTGATGTTCTTTCATCCACTTCATCTTTGTCCTGTTAAATAGAAAGCAGTATTTGAGAGATGAACATCTGTTCAGCAGATTTCAAATTTTGCTTCTACAATCTTCTATTTTCTAAATTCCTTATTTTTAAGGCTTATTTTTCTTCCAAGACATTATCCAAAATCTCCCAAGAAACCAACTACTAATTTCCCCCTGATTTTTCCTTTCTCTTCTCACTCAAAAGGTATATGAAGGCTATAAAGGCCATCATTCGAAAAAGTTCTGTCACATAAAAACTGAGGAAAATATCTTCTAAGAGGACCTAGTAATTCGTTTTTGGCGATCACATATTACGTTTCGATGCCTTGTATCTCAATACATTTTTATTTTAAATACACCAATCGGACAAGTAAATTTCAGTATAAATATGCAAATGTCCCTCAAGATGGCATTTTCTGCCTCTCAGAAAAGATAGGAAATAATTGCACAAAATAGAACAGGGAGAATGTTGCATCTGCACTCAAGAAGGACATTGAGAGGAGGGCTCATCCATTCATACAATATGGGTAGAACTCAAAAACAAGATGGGTGCAATTACTCTGATGGGATTATACTACAGGCCCCCACCCCCCCAACAGCCACTGAGGCATTGAGGAACAAATACATAGGCAGATTATGGAAAGATGCAATAAAAACAGAATTGTCACAGTGGGTGACTTTAACTTCCCCAATATTGACTGGGAGTCCCTTACAGCAAGAGGCTTAGATGGGGCAGAATTTGTTAAGTGCATCCAAGAGGGTTTCTTCAAACTGTATGTGGTTAGTCCAACCAGAGGAGGGGCTATACTGGACATTGGCTGGCTAATGAGCCTGGCCAGGTGACTGATTTTTCAGTGGGAGAGCATTTTAGAAACAGTTCCTTAAGTTTTAAGATAGCTACTAATAAGGCTGTCAGGACCTTGTAGCAAGGTACTAAATTGGGGCAGAGTAAATTATATCAGTATTAGGCAGGAGATAGGGAGTGTTAATTGGGAGGAGCTGTTATCAGGCAAGACTACATTTGACATGTAAGAATTGTGTAAAGACCTGCTGAGGAGTGTTCAGGACCAGCATGTTCCAGTAAGGAGGAAGGACAAAGTTGGCAAGGTACAGAACAAGGATAATGAGGGAGGTTATCAATTTAGTCAGAAGGATAAAAGAAGCATATGTAAGGTTTAGGAAGCTAAAATCGGACAGGGTCTATGAAGAGTATAAAGCAAGCAGGAAAGAACTCAAGCAGGGAATTAGGAGAGCAAGAAGGAGTCACGAAATGACCTTGGCAAGAAGGGTTAAAGGCATTCTATGCATGCATTAAAAACAAGAAGATAACTAGGGAAAAAGTAGGACCACTCAAGGATAAAGGAGGGAACTTGTGCTTGGAGGCAGAGGATATGTGTAAGATCCTAAATGAGTGAATACTTTGCATCAGTATTCACCCAGGGGAAGGATATGGAGAACAGTGAGATGTGTGTGAAGCATGCTAATATGCTACGGCATTTTGAGATCAGGAAAGAAGTGGAATTAAGTCTCTTGAAGAGCATTAAGGTGGATAAGTCCCCAGGGCTGGTATCTATCCCAGGTTTTGAGAGAGGCAAGAAAGGAGTTTGCTTGGGCCTTGACCAAGGTCTCGGTATCCTCATTAGCTACTGGAGAGGTCCCGGAGAACTGGCAAGTAGCTAATGTTGTTCCTCTATTCAAGAAAGGAAAAAGGGATAATCCAGGAAACTACAGAGTAGTGAGTCTCACATCAGTAGTTGGGAAGCTACTGTAGAGAATTCTCAGGGATAGGATTTATACGCATTTGGAAAAACATGGCCTAATTAGGGGCAGTCAGCATGGCTTTGTGCAGGGGAGGTCATGTCTTACTAACCTAATTGAATTTTTCAAGGAGGTGACAAAGGAGATCGATGAGGGTACAGCAGTGGATGTGGTCTACTTGGATTTCAGTAAGGCTTTCAATAAGGTCCCTCATGGTAGGCTCATCCAGAAGATTAAGATGCATAGGATCCACAGCGACTTGGCTGCGTGGATTCAGAATTGGCTTGCCCATAGAAGCCAGAGGGTATTGTGAAAGGTTGCTTTTTAGGCTGGAAGTCCTTGACTAGTGGCGTTCCACAGCGATCAATGCTGGGACGTCTGCTGTTTGTGACATATACAAACGACTTGGATGAAAATACAGATTGGTGGGTTAATAAGTTTGCAGACGATACAAAGATCGGTAGAGCTGTGAGTAGCGTAGAAGGTTATCATAGGATACAGTGAGATATAGATCAGTTGCAGGTATGGGCAGAGAAATAGCAGATGGAGTTTAATCTGGCTAAGCGTGAGGTGCTGCACCTTGGGAGATCAAATGTTAAGGAAAAATATACAGTTGATTGCAGGACCCCGAATCGCACTGATGTACAGAAAGATCTTGGGATTCAAATCCATAGCTCCCTGAAAGTGGCCACACAAGTGGATAGGGTGCTAAAGACGGCAAATGTCATGCTTGCCCTTAGTGGTCAGGGAATTGAGTATAAGAGTCAGGATGTCATGTTGCAGCTTTATAAGAGTTCTGTTAGGCCATATTTAGAGTATTGTGTTCAGTTCTGGTCACCACATTACAGGAAGGATGTGGAGGCTTTGGAGAGGGTGCAGAAGAGGTTTACAAGGATGCTACCTGGATTAGATGGTATGAACTATAAGGAGAGGCTAGAAAAACTTGGGTTGTATTCTCTGGAGCGACGAAAGCTGAGTGGAGACTTGATAGAAGTCCATAAAATTATGAGTTGCATTGATAAGGTTGACAGTCAGAACCTCTTCCCCAGATTTGAAATACCTAAAATAAGGGGACATACATTTAGGTGAGAGGGGGAAAGTTCAAAGGAGATATGAGGGTAAGCTTTTTTACACAGAGAGTGGTAGGAGTGTGGAACACATTGCCAGGGGTGGTAGTGGAGACAGATATCATAGATGACAGGGGCGTTTAAGACACTTTTAGATAAGCACATCAATATGCAAGGAATGGAGAGATATGGATCAAGGGTAAGCAGTTAGTTTAATTTGGCGTCATGTTTGGCACAACATCATGGGCTGTACAGTTCAATGTACTATATTCAGCCAAAATTAGAAAGAAATTTGGCAGTCTGGAATATACTATCCCTCATAATGGCATGCATAATGACAGAAATTTCAGATCTTAGATAAACTGCCTATCATAAATGATTTATAGAGTTGTACAGCAAGTAAACAGACCCTTTGGTCCAACTCATCCATGCCAACCAGGTATCCTAAATTAATGTAGTCACACTTACCAGCATTTTGCCTATATCCCTCTAAACCCTTTCTTTGAACATAAAACTAATCTGTTGCAAGAAATACTGAACCATAAGATTCTCCAAACCACTGGACATCACAATCAATTCATACAATTTCTGCATTTACAAATGCATAATAATGTCAACAAAAATTGTTTCAAATGTTCTCTTCTTTCATGATATTCTGCAGTAATAACTTATTTTCATCAACCAATGCATTGCGATCATCTTTCACTTATAATTTTAACAAAGCAGGAACAAAAAGAGCAAATTATGATGATGCAATTGGATAAAAATTTACAGCATTTGCTCTCAATCATTCCTTATTCTGATGAAATATTAAAGTTGTTAAACTGATCTTCAATATAACAATCCCTCTCCTGTCATTTAAGCAGATCCATTTCTCCTCCCATAATCAAACAGAAATACAAGCTGTACTCTAATACTTTAATTAAACATCTTTTCATTTACAAAAGGTGGTGTTTAAAAGACAAGATATGCCAAGAAATTGACAAGTAGTGACAATCGCTCAATTAGCAATTATGTTACAGTCATATTGCAAAAATAGATCCATATAAATATCAGCTACACCTTTGTTCTTATGAAAAACATGCAACATCGGATGAGTTTGTGTGTGGACTTCAGTGATAGAAATTGTTTGAATAGTTCCTGTGGAGGTAGGGGAACAGGGAAGAAAAGTTGTCATTCACACTATGTGGGAAGGTTAAACAAACAATCTATTCCTGTCTTCTGCACGTACTAGGCAAAAAAAGCAAATCAACAGGATGTATCTATCAAAACCTTTTTGAGGCAGAGCACAAGGCTATGAATTGACAGCAAGAAGCACTGATATTCCCTAAATCCTGAATAACTCATCTTCCCACAGGTCTGTAAAAGGAGTTACATGATTTTGATACAGCGACAATCAAGATGATACATTTCTATGTTAGAATGATGCGTGACATGCAGTGGGAAATGAAGGTGGTGATGATACCAAATGCCTATTGTCCTTGTCCTTCTAAGTCAATGGTCTCCAACCTTTTTATGCAGAAGATCACTTATTAAATTTAAGTGCAACCCATGATCTTGAAGAAAATATAGAATATCGTTTAATTTTAGTGCTATACAAATTTTAAACCAAATGTATATATATTCATGCCTTCTGTCCTCTGGTCACCAAGTCTCAATATGACATCTGTGTCTGTACTTTACCAGTGTCTTGAAGGCTGGGTTGTAATTGGAGACTGTTCTTCATAAACAGTTCATCAAATGGGTATCTGAAAGTGCTGCAATAATTGGGCTTGCTTATCCTCATTTGGGAGAACACTCTCAAAGTGAGCTTTCACTTTAAAAGGATGATTGGATTTGGTAATTCTGTTTACGAGTCCCCAAAAATCACTGCCCACTGAGCTGACTTCAGCTCAATATAACTTTGCATAGTAATTATCTCCGAATCAATTCCACTCCCTTGTAAATCAAAAGCCTGGTGGAAGTTGGCCACCAACACAGTAATATCTACTTGAAGGAAGAGATTTGAGACAAACATGGTGATTTGCTCCATCATATCTCTAATTCCTGAAACTGCCTGTTGAATGCCTCTGCTAACTTATTCAGTTGTGCACAGACTTTTATGAATGGAACTATTTTTCTTTTTTCTAGTGTTTTCTCCACTGCAGCATTTTATTATTTAACTGGGAAGACCACATACCAGTTTCAA